CCTCTTCCAGGTAAATGAGGGCGTGTCCAGGTTTGAGGCCCAGCCTGCTGCCTGCTCTGTCCCCCGCCCCCCCCATGCCTGGTGACCCATTGGCTCAGCAGACGCGGGGCACAGCCCCCTTCTGGGAAGAGTAGACGCTGCTTTCCAGGCGGCTGTCCCAGGGCTCTGGTGAGGTGCCCCAGGCCCGCTGCTCTCCCTCGGTCACTGTGTACAGACTGGGCCAGCCTGTCCTGGTGACCCCCAGTTACCTCCCTTCCTTCTGTCCTGGTTCACTCGCCATCTCCCCCGGTGGGTTCTCTGCCATGTCCCCAGATCTAGAGCCACGCCTGTGTGAGAAGGCCCCGGTCCACATCTGATGAAGGGAGCGGTCATCCTCATTGGGAATTCCACCTGCCGGTGCGGCCCGGCTGTGCAGAGCGTTTCGGGGTTTCACAGCCTGTTGTGTTGTGACAGCCCCTGTTACCCTTCCCTGTCACCCCTGAGCTGTCCCCCAGAATCGGCTGGGCATTGTGCTGGACCATGATGTTGGGGGGGCCCTGGGCGGCGGCAGGACCCAGGGCCTTACACACAACGGAGCTCAGACCACGGCAGGGTGGGCCAGAGGCAGCGTGGACGCCTCTGGGGCGCACGTTCTAGGAGACGACACTGCCCGGCCCGGCGCTGGCTGAGCGGGAGCTGCAGTCATCGGTGGCCTGAGGCCAGTGCAGCGTCCCCTCCGCCAGCTCATTCCGGTGTCTCCAGAGGGCCACATGGTAAGGGATTTGCCTCCAGCCTTGACCCTACCGTGCGCATCGGACCCCCTGCCCCCCGGAAGCTCTTCCCTTCTGCTGGGCCAGTGGGTGCCCTGCTGGTGCGCTCCTACGGGTGTGGCCTTGGGCAAGTCCCTTGCCCTCACTGGGCCTTAGTTTCCCCCTCTGTGGGCTGGGGCTGCCGTGAGTGCTTAGCGGGGCCGTTTCCCTTGAGTGCTGCTGCTGTCCCTCCTCGCTCTTGTTGTCACTTAAAACTCAGCCTGGACTGAAGCCGGGTGTGTGCTGGCCATGCCCGCCGGCTGTGTGCACAGTGGGACAGCCGCGAGGGCCTGAGCTGGCGGGGCGCCCCGGCACTCGGGCACTTGGTGCTGGTGAGAAGGCTTCAGAGGCACTTGGTTCTTCTGAATGCGCTCTCCCCGGCTTTGGCCCTGGCTGGTCCGTGGAGCACTCTGGTCGCCGTGTCATGGCCTCGGCTCACAGGCTTGAAGCAGAGCCCGGTGGCCCATTTTCAGCCTGGTACCCCCGGCTCGCTGGCCTGCAGCCTGGCCCAGGGGCGCGGGAAGCAGGCTGTGGGTGTGGCTTTGCACCTTTGAAGTGGCCCGACGGGTGGGGAGAGGAGCCTGGGCCTGAGCTGCAGCCCCGAGGCCTCAGCCTGAGGCCCCACTGTTCCTCCCACGGCCAGGCAGTGGGGCGGGTAGACAAGATGGCAGCGGCCCTTTCCCAGTGCTGCTGGGTGTGGAAAGCAGGCGGTGATGTGGCCGGCGGTGTTGAAATAAGTGTGTGTGGGTTTCTCAATATCCTGCCAGCCTGTCACAGGACTACGTGTCAGGATCCTGGGTGCCAGACCCCGCCTGGGCCTCCTGCTCAGGGTGCCTGGCTCCCCGTTTGCTACCCTGCTGCTGCCCAGGGCACTGGCCGAGGTCATGACATTAGGGCAGAGTGACATTATTCGGGGCCTACGTAATCCTCGTGACCCTCCCATTTTAGGGAGGTCAGGTGGCTTTGACGTGACAGTTGAGACTTGAACCCAGGCTTTGGAGTCTGTGATGTTGCTGTCTTCAGGCCAAGGACTTCTCACCAGCCTGGTGTGCACACACCAGTCTGGTGGCAGAGGCTGGAGGCCAGGGGTCCCAGCCCCCCACGTCCTCCAAGGGACTGCCCCAGACTACGGACGTGGGTCCCTTACTGGGCTGACGCCCCCATCGAGGAGCCAGTGGGAAGCAGGAGCGTTAGGCAGCACCAGGTGGCATCCCCCTCTTTTCAGCTGGAACGGGGTCTGGTGCCTGGACTGCCCGGCAGGTGAGAGGGCAGTGGCCATGATGGCTGCACAGCCACTGACCCCCCACCGTGCTCCAAGCACTTGGTTTTGGGGGGTCGTGCCACCCTCCCTGGGACCTCCCGGGTGGGTGTCCTAATGCCGAGTGTTTAGAGGAGGAAACCAGGGCTCAGAGAGGCAGAGTGACCTGCTGGAGGCCATGCTGCTGGACACTGGAGACCATTCTCTGGGACTCTGCTGGGTCAGACTGGGAGGCGACGGACAGTGGGGAAGTACACCTTAGAGGTGCATCGTGGCTCTTCCATGCCGAGCTGTGCAACATCAGGCAAGTAGCCGGGGCTCTCTGATCACCGAGGGGACTCGGCTGGCCTAGGTGTGGAGCTGGTGAGGATGCTTCCAGAGCCTGGCTGGCTGGGTGATGGGAGGAGGGAAGGGGCTCAGGCTCAGGGCTGCCTCCCAGTGAGGGCTGTTGCAGACCCTAGCCGGGTCCTCAGCTGGGTGGGGTCTGGGGTGCTGGGAACTTGTGGTCCCGCCTGACTGTCGCAGGCGTCTGCCCATTGCCCGTCAGCAGGGGAGGGGCTCTGGAGACAAGGCTTTTATGGATGAGGAAGCAGGCACCCCGAGAGGGCGAGGAGCCGGGCCTGGGCCGCACAGTCAGGCAGCTGGGCCCGGGGCCGTGGAGAGGGGCGTCGGGAGACCTGTGCTCTGGTAAGGCGGAAGTTTCGTGGTCAGGTGGGCAGGATGATGTGGGTTCCAGCCAGCGGCAGTTAGCGCCTCACTGGAGCTGGGGGTGACCGTAAGGGGAAGGATGGTGACCCTCGCAGTGGCGCTGGTGATGACCGAGTGCCTGCTGTGCGCCAGGACCTGTGGCTGTTGTCTGCTTCAGCACCCGTCGTGCCAGACACTGTGCTCAGTGCCTCCTTGGCCAGGGGTCCCCTGCGCCTGTCTGCCGCCCTCCCTGGGGCTGTGGCTGGGGTGGTCACCCTCACGGTGGGCCTGTATGTAGGTCTCTCCCGTCTGTCATCCAGATGTGCAGGGAGCCCAGGGGTTCTTTAGGGGTATGCAGAAGTCTGTGCAGTAGCTGGAGGGAGGCGAGTGGTACCTCCTGCAGGAAGCCCTCCTTGATATCTGTACCTGCCCCCTCTTGCATCACTGACAGATGGGGCCCTTTGGGCTCCTTGAAAAGTCTGACTCTGGACTGGGCATCCCTGGGCAGGGCCTGGCCTTGCTTATCTGCCCGTTCCTAGTGCAAGGGCAGAGGGGCCGTAGGTGTCCCACCAGCAAGCACCCTGTGACGTGTGAAGAGAGCTGAAGCCCAGGGCCCTGTCCCCTTCCTGAGGATGAGGACGCGGGGACCCTGTGGGTTTGAGTCCAGTGCCTGTAACCCTGTCCAGTCATGGGTCACACAGCCAGGGCTCGAACCCAGGTCACCTGTGTGCACCACCTGCGGGGACAGATGAGGAAAGGCCACCTTCGTGGTCACTCATCCACGTCCACTGCGGAGCACAGGCTCAGGCAGGCTGCTCAGCCAGCTTGGGCTGCACACTTGTCAGGGCCTTGGGGTCTCTTTGTAAGTTGGCGCTTGCTTGGCTGGCTCTTAAGGACCGTGGTGAGTCCTGCAGCCTGTGTGGGGCCGTTCCTAGCCCCTCCACCCCCACCTGTCCATCCATCTGTTTAGGAAGTCTTTACTTGGCACTGGTTGTGTGCCAGGCCTCAGCGAACCAAGTCGTGGCTCCTCCCCTCAGACAGGTGGGCGGGGGCACTTGCGGCATGACGCGTGCTCTCGGAAGGTATGTAGCAGAAGAGCCGCCTGCTCTGCCTGGGAGGGTCAGAGGGCTTCCAGGAGGAGGTGTTTAAACTGGGTTTTAACTGGGAGGACCCAGGAGACACGTAAGGAGAGTTTCTGGCACTGGAAACAGCATGTCCAGCCGAGAGGCGAGAGAGCTGGTGCTTTCCTGGAGATGACCTGGTTCCCAGGGCTGGAGAGCACAGGCAGTGCGGGAGGGCGGGCGAGGCAGAGGGCAGGGCTGGCTGCTGTGGCCGTGGTTGGCCTGGGCGCCCCTGGAAACCTTCCTGCCTCCAGAGTCACAGCGGCTTCTGGGGGCTGGGCTGGCCCATTTGGGGTCTGGGAGACAGGCAGGCTTCGTGGAGGAGGCTGAGGGGCCCGTGGTGGGCCTCGGCCTTTCTGGAGCTCCGGGGATGGGCTACCCTGGGGATGCTGTGGAAAGCTGGTCCTAGGCCGCTGGCCGAGGCTGCAGGCAGGCCCTGGCCCGGAGCAAACCCGGTTCATCTCGGGGTCAGCCCAGGACCATGCGGATGGGCTGCTGGGTCAGCTGGCTCATCTTACAGCCGAGGACACAGGCTCCTGGCCCTCCTGGCGCCCTGTCCAGCTCACGTTGGGAGAAGGTTTCAGGGTCTCTCGGTGGGTGGGGGTTTTGGAGAAAATCGAGTCTGCATTTGGCTTGGACAAGCTTTCTGTGGGAGTTTGTGCAGGAGGCTGGTCAAGGCGATGCTGAGACTGTAACTCCCCCACCCCCAAAATGAAAAAGCCAAAAACACCAACCATCCTGCAACTGTTTTACCAAAGGCAAGCAAAGAAAGTAAAAGCCAGCCACCATGTCCCTGCCCCCAGGTGGGCACCACCCGCGTCCTGCGCCACCAGGCTTTTCTCCTTTTCCTCCGTGTGCATGCACGCCGGTAGTGCACACGTCTGTACGTACTGGTTTTTAAACAAAATGAGATACAGATTTCCGGTTTCTATCAAAGTTGGGGTCTCCTGTAGGAAATAGGGACGCCTCCCCGCTTTTGGGGGAGGAAGAAGTTGACCAGGCCTTCTTGTGGCCAATGGAGGAGACAACTGCAGTGTTTTCGGAGACTGTGGACGGGGATCCAGGGTCCTGCACCGTTCACAGCCCAACCCCCTCTAGAAGTGCCAACCACCCCGAAGGGATTCTAGGGGCTGCTGGGACCCCAGGCGGGCATGTGCGCCCATGTCTGTTCGTCTGCACTACCCTTCTAAGTGGTATGCGTCCCCTGTGGTCAGCCCCCCTGCTGCCCCCATCCGATCGCCTCCCCGCATGGGTGCCTCCCCCTCCTGCCCATGCAGCCTTGGGCCCCGTCTGGCCTGCCCCTGACCAACTGTGTGGCCTCGGGCAGGTTGAACTTTGTGTCTCTGAGCCTTAACTTCCCCTTCTGTAAAAAGTGATGTTTGTGGGTTTTTGGGAGAGTTGGACGAAGTATGTGTTGCAGACGGCCCAGTGCGGGCTCCTGCGCACGGGGCACGTGCCCCTCCCCGCTGCCCTTTGCAGGGGGTCTGGGTGTATCAGGCACCTTTTCCCATCTGTAGATGCAGGGGCTTGGGGGAGGGGCCCGCCTGGCTCCCTGCACCTGAGACCAAGCAGGGGTCTGGGCACGGAGGAGCCCGGGGCCGTGGGGGTTGTGGGGTCTGAGGAAGGCAAGAGCCCTGGGGCTCCTGGCCCTGTGGACGGCTGCAGTCGGGGCGGGGCAGGCGGCCTGACCTCTGGGCCGACTGGTCTGTGGGGCCAGTCCCCACACTGTTCCTCTGCCCCAGGCAGGCTCTTTGCCATGTCCCTAACCTGAGCTGGTAGGGCCTAGTGGCCCTGCTGCCTTGGCCATGCGGGGAGCCCAGTGAGAGGCTAAACGGGGGGCAGAGGGCCTGGCCAGACTTACTTAGCTTCTGGGACCTGGTAGGGAGCAGAACCCCGAGCTCTCTACTCTGAGCTATAGGACTAGGGGAGCCCTACCCTTCGTGCCTGGAGGCCCCTGGGTAGTGTTGGCAGTTACTGCTCTCAGCCGGGTCATCCAGTCACTGATGGGCTGAGCTGTACCCTCCTGTATCACCCTGTGCTGTCCCCCAGTACAGGGGTCATGGCTTGTCCTCGTGGCCGCCTGACCAGGGACCAGGTGGGACTAGGGGACAGGTCAGGGCGGGTGGGCGAACCCCAGCCCGGCCTCTACTTACACCAGGGCCGTGGATTGAGACCCAGAGGGGTGGGGTCCCAGTCACTGAGCCCCGCCGAGGGCGGCCCTGCTTGGGGTGCCACACACTCCAGTGCCACTCTGTCCGCGCTCAGCTCCGTGAAGCGCCCGTCTGTGAGCCCCACTCGGCCTGTCAGCCCAGGTCCCCTCGGTCCTGGCTCCTGTGCCCCGTGGGCTCGTCTCTTCTGGGACTTCTGGAACCTGCTGTTGGGTGCTGTCCTCTTGCAGCCCTCCCTGTGCGACTGTCGTCCTGTTTTCTTGTCCTGTGAGGAGGCAGGACTCTGATGTTCTCATGTTCACTGTGGATGGGCGTCGTGGGCGTCGTGGCCGGGATGGCAGGACTCACCCATGCTGCTCTCCCACTGGGGAGTGTGTTTGGGGGTAGTGGCTGTCCCAGGGTCCGGGTTACACCCCCTGGGCTGAGCCCTTTGCATCTGATTGTTTAACTTGGGGAGCCTGACCCCTGATTGTGTCGTGGCGGGACAAAGGCTGAGGCGCCAGTGCCTCTGGTGGAGTTGGGGTCTTGGCCCCGCCTCACACATGCCATCTCTCCCGTGTTGGATTTTTGGGGGCGTGAGGACTACCCTGTTCTTCTAGAGATTTAAAATGTTTATTCTGATTTCTTTTTAAAATTGTGTGTGTGTGTGTGTGTGTGTGTGTGTGTTTTCATTGGCCACAGGCTCCTGTTGCCCAGACTGACTTGTGTCCCGCCCCCTCAGGTCTGGGGGGGGTATTGAGGAATTGATGGGGTGCTGAGTGAGGCCCCTGCTCTGTCAGCCCCTGAGGGGCTGAGAAAATGCAGGGTGGCAGAGCCAGCCTCCTGCCTCCGCAGGCACCTGGCCACCTCCTTTGGGGTGAGGCCCCATGGTCCTGGACACTGTCCTCCTGGACAGTGGGTGGATGGCGGTTCCAGGGTGGTGAGCGGGCTGTACGCTGACTGCACCTGGGGACCAGGAGGGCGCTGAGCATGAGCTGGAAGCTGGCAGTGGCCGCTCCTTCTGGGCAAGGTGAGGGAGGGGCAGGGAGTGCGGGCGAGGCCCTGGGCTCCCAGGGGTGCCCGAGGGTGCCAGGCCGCTGCGGGCATTGCTGTGTGATGGCTGTGCGCAGGACCCTGGCCCCCAAGCAGCAGCGGAGTCAGGTCGCCCTTGGCTGTGACTTTGTTTTGTTTCCTCGAGTCAGATTGTCCTCCGTCCTGTGCCCGGAAGAGAGGCCTGCTCTGTCCTCGGGTGGGGCCCTGAGCCTCTTGTCTTCCCTCGGGGTCGGGTGGGGGGTGGGGCCTGTGCTGCCACCTCTGTCAGTCAGCAGACTCAGCTACTGCCGGTCCGT